ATTCTTTAGAAAGAATAATAAGGTATCTAAATTATCACTTCTAAAGGTAAACAATAAAGAGAAAAATGAAAACAAATGAATGATCAATAGTCATTTAATTTTGCTTAACAATGAAATAACTTCAATTTTTATTCTTTCTTATTTTAATAGTTCAAAGCAAAAAACGAATGAAGTAGGAAATGAAGATATCAAATAACTATTATATATATAAAAGATTCAAGCAATCAAAAACTTTTGGTTAAATTATAAAATAATTTGAGCAATAAATTCAAGAGAAGAAAGAGACCTTTCCGTTAAATCAAAATATTTCTTATGCAGTTGATTTTGTTATTGCAGTCAACCAAGAAGTTATAGGAGTTGCCTCAGATCTCTTTATTGAAGCAAGTGAGGAGATGGACCTTCCGTTTAATATTAGAAAAATTATATCCATAGCTTATAGAAAGAACATCAAACTTGAGGATATGTCAATTGAGAAACTAGAAAGTTTCAAGTACCTAGGAATCAAAATTAATATAAGAGGGAACATTACTGATCAGTTCAAAATCACAAGAAAAGCAGTATCCTAAAAATCGAAAAGATGGCATTCCTAAAGAAGATACTCTACCTTTTAGATTACCGACTAAACTATGGATTCTACCTTTAATTAGATATAATAACATTTCCATCTAGTTCTAAAAGTAAAGCTATATCAAAAAATTTCAAGTCTTAAAAAGAAATTCCTTTAGATTAGTCATGGGTCATGGCAATTATTACCAAAAAAGATATCATTGACACAATTATTATTCTACTGGAAGTGAACTTTCAAAAAGGCAATTATTTTGACAAACAAATCCAATATGAAATTTTCAGAGATTTCATCTGGAAAGAAATTAAAGTAAAAGAAAATTTTATTAAGAGAAAATTCAACTTTGAACATAACTTGATACGGTATAATATTATCAGTATCAGAAAAACTTTTAAAGGAAAGACATGATCAAGAAATGAGCGATATTTACCGAATGTCAGGAGGGAACTTATGGGAAAGCTTTATTGAAAGAAACCCTAAATTTGAAGAAAAATAAAATTTATGATAAGAAGAGTTTGAAAGAGCGGAGAAGAAGCGTATGGAATTAAGGAAAAAGAAGAAATTCCTAAAGACAAATGAGAAGAACCTGTTTTCTTCAATTAAGAAGAATCCATGGCTATTCATACTTTGAACTATGGAAACATTAATGGAGAAGATGCAAATAGCCTATTTAACTAATGAATATAGATCACATCTGTTAACAACTGAGTAGAGTGTTGAAAGGAGCAGATGAAATAATTGAAAAAATTCTAAACTATACTAAGAAAATTAATGACCCTCTGGTTAAGAAAACATAAAAAGCTATAACAGAGCAAATGAAGGACATAACCAATTCGATCTAGAAGATGATTAAAGAGGACTGTAAAACTTACACTCCTAAACAAAAAGAACCCGTGCCAGTTTGATTAATATAATCCAGTTCATATATATTATAATATAATTTTAAATCATTGAAAATATAAGATGTGAAATTTGATTAGCTTTGGAGATATTAATTAATTAATTTAAGAAATTTGAAACTTAAATTGAAAATAAGAGCTGTAAAATCAGATTAGTTTTTCTATTTTTAACTGAGATATAAAAAAACTAGTATGAAAATTTAATAGATTTTATCACCAATTTACTGTATTATTGATTATATATATGACCTAACTTTGCCTAATACCAAACTTATTAGTCTAAAATTGATTTCTTCATTATTTAAAGGTTTTTTGCTTCAAATAGTGTTAAAAATTGGCTTAATGAGCAAACATTATGCTTTATTGGTTTCAGTATTAATCCTCAAATAAATAAATTGATTATCAAGATATTGTTATAATTTGAAAACTTATTAGATTAGGAATATAAATTGCCATTAAATAACTATCCTATTAAACTAATCCTAAAAAATTAGTAAGAACTTAATAAAAAAAAAATAAGCACTCAGAATTTAATTATAAATGAAGATAAAGAATATATATACAAATAGAGAGGCAAATAACTAAACTTTAGAAATTTGAAACAGCAAGTAATTAATAAATGGTAACTTTTAATTTCAGATAGTATATAATAAGAATAGAATTATGAATAATTTTTGTGTAAAATATTCTATAATTGATGAGAAGTAACTTCAATCATGGATACCCTTCTATATTTACTTCAAGGAGATTTAAACAATTTTTTTTTAATTTCCAAAAATACTTCTTGCCTCTGCATTAGTGTATTTAGAGTGGAAATTATTTAAAGATTATGATTTTCATTGTTTTTTGCTAAATTTAAAAGAGAAATAGCATTTCTAGATATTGGATACATCAATCAAGAACCTTAAGTTTCTGTAAATTGCAAATGAGAAGGATTTGCCAAATTAATCACAATAATTTAACTAACAAAGAAGATATGGAGAGTTATGAGATTGATGTGAAACAAAAATAAAAGAGAAATACTTAGAGAATTGAAGTTAATTTCAGAATTTTGTTTGAAAATGTATTCAATTATGTGATTGCCCTTTTAGTCTATAATATTGATTCTGTAAAAAATATAGGAAATTAATGAGTTAAAGTATAATCTATTAATAAGGTAGTTAAGATCAATATTTAGAGATATTTTATTATGGTAGAATTATGATTTTAATAATATCTAAAAAGGTTGGATTAAAAAATTATTAGGAGACATCAATATTTAAAAAAAAATAAGACAGAATGGTTATGATGGCAAAAAAGATGATAACCATTTGGGCAGCTCATTTTCTATATTCAAAAATGAAATATATTTATAAATATTCTACATTTTACTAGCTAAAAAGTAAGGAATTAGGTTAAATGATATCTAATGCAAGAAAAAAAGGATTTCAAAAAGGCATTATTAATATCATTCCACCGTTCTTAGAACCAATTATCACAATTTCCATTATTAATATATTTCATGTGTTATTAATTTTATTTGAATTAAAACAAATAATAGAATTTGATTAAGATTATAAATATAAACAAACTTTCCTATAAAAATAATATTAAACTATGTAGAATGTAATCTAAAGGAGATGTTGCTAACATGATCAAGAGATTTTAGCTGTTCATATTGGATAAGACAATAAAGATGGGAATAAATATTTTTGTCCATAATATTTAATCAAACTTATCAACTCTAAAGAATTGATATTCTAGTAATAGATTTTATCTTCCCATCTTACTATTATTATTTTTTCGTTTAATTTATTGTTAATACTAATGAGCTCAGATAAGATAGCATTTAAGATCCAAAAAAATTAGATCTCGAAAATATTGAAAAATAATGTAGGTAAAAATTAATTTTAATAAATAATCTATAAAATAATATATTTGAATTACAATGTCCATTAAACTAATTTATTACTTAAATTATTGAAGAAATTAATTAATTAAAAAATCAAACTTAAAGTCTATATTAACAACGCCAGATTATAGCTTCTGAAACTGAAAACTTAGATTAAGATTTAAAATTATTAATTGATGTAAAGAGTAATTTATTAACATCACAAGAATATGATTAATAGTTAAAAAAATAAGTGATATTTTAGGTTAAATTGACTGATTAATCAAGAAAATAATAAGAAATTATTTCAGAATTTGAGAAAATATCACAATTATAGATATTTTATTTAAATTATAAAGATAATAAGTAATGAAGGTTTCAAATTTTTAAAAGAACCCTTAATCCTAAGTAATTTGTATATTAATTTAGGATACAAAAGCAAAAGAGTATTTATTTAAAAGTCATTAAGAAGAAATAGAACTGCTTTTGATTGATGAAAAAAAATAAAGTTTTAAATTTGTTTGTATATAATATATATCAGTCAAAGGTACTTAACTTGAGTAATATTAGTAGTCGTTTAGTGATTAATAATAATAATCAGCAAAGTCATAAAGATATTTTTAATAATTAAAGAATCAATATATAATTAAAAGCGTTAGCATGTTAAAGAAAGCTAAAGAAGACTATTAAATAATTAGAGTAAAGTTCAAAGTCTTTTTTTGAAAATATCATTGAAATAACTTTATAATAATTTAATTAATAATTTTTAATTAATTTTAATAATAATTTTAATATTTTTCATTATTCTTAATGATATTTTCTAATTTATATTTTATATGAATTCCTATCCCAACTTATAAAATACTGCCCATCTTCACTCATTTATCCATAAATATAATGATGCCCATAATCAATAGATTATTGTAATATTAAATCACCATTTTGATTCATCCTTATCAAATTAACATTGAAACCATTCTTATTCACAAGCAAGCATTTCTATTTTATATATTATTAAGGGAAATAATAATAACATTGATTATAACCACATTTAACATCAATTTCTTTTGTTTTTGAGTACTATTTATTAATATTATTCATTTCATAAATATGCATCTACTCTTTACAATAAGGTTAAAATGTAAATAAATTCTCATTGATAAAGCATATTCTATAACCATAATCTTAAACTTTTATCTTTTATATTACATTCCAGTTTTTATTCTATTATGATTATTCTATTATTAATATTTAACAATCATATCCACATGATATCACTTTATTCTATTACTCATTCATACTTAATCCATTTACATCATTTGTATGATCTGTAATAGTTTATGAACATATCCATTTATCCTACTTTATCCAAAATTTAATTGTCTTATCATCACTTCCTGATATTATAATATCTTCATTATTGTTCAATAATAAACAATTAATTTAAGAGTTATGTTCATTCAATTTTTATGAACAGATCCATTAATTATTTTAATCCATAGACCATATAATTATCTATTTATCTTTACTACCAGATATAAATTGAGTGGATTTCTTCATTAAATTTAAAGTAGTAACTCTATCTTAATGTTCAGTTAGAATTTGAATTTGTTTCAATTATTCTTATTTAAATTCAAATACTTTAATCTAATTCTTACAAGCTGCTAATACAATTGAATTATCTTAATTAATAGCAATTGCTCTACAATATTCAGTTTATTAAATTGAATGATTCTATATTAGATTATAAGTGAATGGTTTAAAATTTAATTAATTATGATTATGTTAATTAATATGTTTTGTATTTGATTATTGATTTAATTAAAATGATTTATGAATAGTTAATTTAACAATAGATTAGACTTCTTGAATTAATTAAGTAGTAAATTAAAGAATGGAAGGGAATTATATTTAATCAAATTTTGGAATATTATTAATATTTTTATTAGGAATAGATG